TTAGGAAATATTTAGCCATCAATCTAAAACACTGACATTGTTTTCCAAAAACTTAGTGTCTGAGGCTCTCTAATTCTTGAAAATATCAACATTTTCTTTAAAATATTTCTATTACTAGAAAAATATGACCAACATGTTAAGTTTATGTTATTGTGTATTACAAGAGGTTTCCTTCCAGACTTTTGTGCTGTAAGACTTGGGACGAAAATTGGTGGTTCAGCATCCATATTTTAACACAATCCCCACAACTGTAAAAAAAAAAAAAAAAAAAAAAAAAAAAAAAAAAAAAAGCTCTTCTTGGCTCTTGGCAGTGTATGTTGCTGGAAGACTCTAAAATTCATTCAAGGAAACAGCAGTAGTGACTCCCATTCAGATACAGAGTAGGAAACAGCGAACTGGATATAGATATAACAAACACCCATTTTTGTTCTTTATTGCTTCTAGGCTCAGGAACTATTTCTAGAATTCTTCTCCACAAAGAAGCTGTTCCAGGGTTCCCTTTAGAAATAGTTGTAGCCAAAGACAATGAGTTCCTGCTGTTTCAAGCCTTCTTCCTTTGGAGGACATTAAGGTATTTCTTCAATTCCTCAGCTGATTCAATACAAGATGAGATGGAATTTTAGGGTGATCCTGTAAGAACTACTTGATTGAATTTTCCCTTGGCCAAGCCCCACCGTGTACAAGCCTTTCCTCATTCTCCCAAACAAGGACATCCTAAACCATTTTTTTTTTCCTTTGAAAAGGGTTTGCTAATACATCTTCCTACCCAAGTAATTTCTAGGGGGACAGTTTTCTTTGCTCCAAGCAGCAAGTCTCATGTATAGTGATGTCTCAAGAAGTTTTAGCAGGACCTCTGTTCACCCAGATTCTGTTCACCAAACTTGCCAAGGACAGAGGATTGCCATCATCTTTCCACAAAGGCATGTACTCCCTGCCATGTGATTCTAATGCCATCTTCCCATGTAATACTAGAGGAGCATGGAAGTGTAGGATTTAAATGAGACTCTTGTGGTCTGTGGACATTAGATATTTTTCATAAGCAAAGCACTGTTCCATAGACTGGAGAAAAGTGTGGATGAACAACCGTTGCTGACAAACGTATTCCAGGATGCCGTAACTTAGAGACAAGCAGAATGCATGTTTTACATACTTCCCAGATTTGTCTCAGTGCACAGCCATGCTGTGATACTATGATTCTAGATTCTTCAAAATCACCTCTTTTCCCACTGAGAATTTCCTTGGATTAAAATCTATGTTTAAAAAAATCCAGCATCTTAGTTCATTATTTCAGAACTGCAAATACAGTGTTGATGTAAAATAGTTTCGTTTAGAATAATGTTAAAAATTATTCACTTTGGAGTCATCATTCAAAACAAGGGATTGGATTTCCGTTTTCTCATAGCACTTCTTTCTCAAAGAACTGCCCTTGTTATGAGTAAGATGATTCATTTTGAGATTGCATATTAATATATTGAGCCAAAATCATATTTTCGGATCTGTTGAATGAGACCAGATCTTTCTGTAGATCATTTATTCCTGTGTTTTCCTGTTGTAATGTTGATCTCACAGAAATGCAACTATTGTAGGTACAGACTCATGTAATGGGAAACAGAGCACTAAAACATAGGGAGAATGATGAAAGGCAGTAGCACAAACATAGGATATGATTTCAGGTGAAATATTAGGTGACATCGAGGTGCCTACAGAGGCATCCATTATGAATCAGGTTATTCCAGGGACAGAATCAGCAGCACAGACCCATGTGTCACCATTTCTGTGTGTGTGTGTGTGTGTGTGTGTGACCGTTTCCGTGGGGTTTTAAAATTTGCTCTAATTTATAATAGGAAAAAGGACATTTATTTATTGCTTTATTAAATGTCATAAAATGAAGGGGCAAGTGTTAAAATGCCTTTCAAAAAATTAGTCTTCTATCTGTAGCTACTGAGTCACAGTGAAGATTGTTAGGTTTACCCTAACATATCAAGGAGAAATTGAATAGCTCCAGGGTAAAGTGACAGTTTTCATAAAATGATTTGTTCACTTTTTCTGTGTCTTAACATTAAATATTGAAGGTGTCAGAATTTGCAGGATGTACACATACTAGTTTCCTCCATTAATGTAGGCCATAAAGAAATGGAAAACTATTACCTTTTAGGGACACAGAATAATTTCTGACCTCTTGCATGGGCCCATATTGTCTGAAGCCCAGGGGCTTCCATCCAACAGTAAGACTCCCATTAGCTCAACACTTACCGCACACATGTCCAGGCCACGCCCACCCAGCAGGTGTATTTGCTTTTCATTGGTTTGCTTGAATAGGAGCTGTTCTGTGGAATGCTCCAGGGAAGCATTTCTCACCCTGGAGTGCGGGTATTGGGTGCTCATCTGTGACTGCACACCATTTGGGTCAAACACAGGGCTATTCAAATCAGTGTTGTGGTTGGATTTCTCTTTCATTTTTCAGCCAAAGATCATAATCCTGATCCTATTCATTAATCATAATATGTTCTCGAAGTAGCACATTCATCATTATTGAGGAAAAGTATCATTTAGAGGCAGAAGATCACTTTTGTAGAGTTGGACAGTGTGTTCTCTTAACAAATCCCCACAGCTTAGGCAAAGTAAAATTCCATGCCACTCCACAATTACTGTGCATTTTCAGTTAAACCTTTCCCAACATACACTTATCCATGCTATATTTTCTGAAGGCAGAACTTTTCCATAAGCTTTACATATTAAACACCAATAAGGAATACAAAGTTCTAGTCTGTGTAAGTAAGCTTCGAACCTGTTTTGTAACTGTTAAACTGCCCACTAAAGCAGCCCGTGTGTAGTCCCAATCCTCAGTCTAGTAACTTTCTAGAACACAGAACTCCTCTTCACTGGGACAACCTGTGGTTGGTTTATTTAAGAGCTGGTATAAATTATCCTGTCTTAACACCTATGGTTAGAATAATTTTAAAATGCCAGGTGTGGTGGAGCACGCCTGTAATCCCAGCATTTGGACCCTATCTCAAAACATAGAGAGAAAAATAATTGTAATTAAACAGTGGCAGTCTGTGACTGAGGGCTAGAATAGAAGTCCTATTTTTGGTGGCTAACAACCATGGTAATAAAAAGAAAAATGAATAGGTTGAAAAATGAAGATGTTTATGGTAAATTTTAGGAGAATGGAGGAAGGAGACAATGCTTTCAGTATGTCTTGAACTTTGCTTTTTATGTTTACAATTATCTGTCAGAATTCTTTAGTCATTGAAAAATTAGAAATTTTATAGTAGTGGAAAGTTTATGCTAAAATTTCATGAAGATGTTCTTTAAAACGTACTACAGTAAAAGTCGAGAAAGCACATGCATTTTGTTTGGGAGAATGCTGGCAGCCATCTTTGTCTCCTACCTGTGAAGCACTGAATCATTGTCCCCTTTTAGTGGGAGGATAAAAATGTAGAACCTCAGTCTTAGCAGTGGCAGCTACATTTTGGTCGCTAATTTTGGTCTGTCTTCCTTGGTAACAGGAGATGAAATTGGAGAAGACAGTGTGGACTAATGGATAGAGTATTGGACAGGAGGGCAGGAACCTCTGCGCTGTTCTATTCCCAGCCTGCTACTGGGTTGCTATGTAAACTTAGATAAGCCACTTACCCTCTGTGTATCTCATATTTTCCATGTGTGAAAACATAGGTACAAACATTCTGTACTTGGCTCGTTCACAAAGATATTGTGAGAAACAGCTTACTCCGAAGAAGTTCATAGTATCTTTTGGTCAAAGAGTTGATATATAACTATGTCACTGTCTCTATTTCCTTTGAAACACTCTGGCACTATAAAAACTGTCCTGTATCTATGCACTGCAGAATAGATAGCGTTGAACAGGCTGCACGGAAACAAAGAGTAGGATTTAGAGCCAGACTGCCTGAGTTGGAATCTGAAGTCCACCACTAGCTATTGCGGTGACCGTGGACACGTCAGTGAGTCCTCATGGGGATGGCAGGAGCAGCCACCTGCTGGAGCATGCAGACATTGAAAGCACTTAGGAACAGAATAGGCAACGTTGTATAAATCCAATATGCTTTATGCTGGCGTGCGTAGTGACTCGTGTTCCCCGGAGCGGTTCTTCATTCTCAATGTGGAGAAGTAAAGCACCCCTCCCATCTTGGTTTCTTCTGTGCCTGTTTCCCAGCGTGCCTGCTTGTTCTTTCTCCTGGATGCTTGTACTCACTATGCCATTCCTATAAGCCCCTCTGTCCTGAGGGTAAGCTCCTAGGCCCTGCTACCCGTCATATCATCTGTCCTAAGTGAGGAAATGTCACCTAAAAGATAAAAGAAACCCAGGTGTTTTAAACTATTCTCAAAAGCATCTCGGGGGCTGGGGAGATAGCTCAGTGGAATACGTGCTTGCCTGGCAAGCTCAGCATCCCGAGTTCAGTCCCTGGTACCACACACACACACAAAAAAAAAAAAAATCTCTGATTTATTAATTTGAAAAAATGCTGATCAATTTCAGAAGCGTTGCACAATGCAGAGTGAAGTCATTGACCCTGGCAGCTGTGTCCTGATAATTATAAAGAATATTTCCCAAAGCATCAGGAAAGAAATAGAACACTTAACCATTTAATAGAGTTAATTGTAACCTCTCTCGTGTGTATTCTGTAGTGGTGACCATCAGAGGGATTGTATGAGGCAAACGATTCACACAGATTGCTCACACACAGAAGCATCAGAGTGGCCGGAGCGTAGCTCAGCTGTGGAGCGCTTGAGCAGCGTGCGTGAGGCCCTGTGTTCAGCCCCCAGCAGCAGAAACAACTGTGGAACATTCACATTTTCAGAAATCGAGACACAAATATTCGTTTCAAGGGTAGTGACAAGAATACAAACTTAGAATTGGTTGAATATTATTTATTAGATTTCTGTAACCTGCTGTTGTGTGGGATTTCAGAGATGAAATAGCGTCTAGGAGGTACTCACATGTTGCATTGATTTTTTCCCCCTCTTTTCATTATTAGAACCGACCTACATTACAATTGATCCGCCTGCATGTGGGGAGTTATCAAACTGCACTCTGACCGAGAAGGACTGCGTTTATGGTTTCAAGCTTGATCACAATGGTTGCCGCACTTGTCAGTGTAAAAACAGTAAGTAGACAGTAGACTTTTCCTGAGACCTAATGTGATATTGTCGACGTATTTTGTATGATAGAATATCTTTTCCACTCTGTTCACACATTCACTTAACAGCGTTAAAGAAGCAGGAAATATTTTTTCACTTAGCTCAACAAATACACAGTCATCTGAGGAAAAGGAGCTGCTCCTGTGCTCCGGCTTTCATCCTCACTTTTTTGTGTTCACATAGTCCTTGCTGTCCAGTGGCTGCAGGGATGTGGTCCCAGCAGGCTCTGCAGGGCATCCTTCTAGCCACTCAGCACCCTTGCTGAAGCTGGCAGGTGACAGAAGCCCCTTCCCATATGTGGCAGTCATCAGCCTTCGAACAAGCTGGTCGTTGTTGCCCCAGCTCTCCTACCATGTCCATTCCAAGCTGTGCATGGCCTCCCGGATGACCTCTGAAGCTAGACGAGTATGTTTCTCTCAAAGGGGAACATTGGCTATCCAGGTTTAAAACTATGCTGAATTCCCCCTATTCCTCTACCAGCATGAGCTTCCTCTGTGTCCTTCACCATCCCTCAGGAGACAGGTTTCTGGAATTTACTTGGTCTTTTGCATTTGCTGACCCTGTGGCATTGTTGCTACATAAAATGTAGCTCAGAGACAAAGTACTCCAAAATTTGGCCTGATGAGTGCAGCGCAGTCATGTGGCCTGAGTTAGCATGAGCTCTGTGTGGACCAACCTTGAGCTTACAGTCATGACGGTCATTAGGTACTTTTTATATCAGTTGCTGTTAGGTGGCTCTCGTCTGTTCTGATTCGAATATTTGCATTTTAGTCATATAAATTTAGGGTCAGGTTAATAAGGAATTATACTAATAACTTGAAACCATTTTCCAACTAACCAGAATTTTTTTTTTATTTTGATACTGCGATCTTAGTCTTTCACCTCCCAGCATATAGTAAATAAGTATAGTGTATTTGTCTCACCTGAATCATTGGATTGAAATAAGCTGCACAAAATCAAGAACAGAGCCCCAGGATACGACATTGAGCGCCATCTTCACTCCTTGCAGGGTTCTAGTTAGCTGACAGCATGTCTTCCCCATGTCAGTAAGAAAGCCTAACACCCAGGGCCTGGTAGCTTGCCTCAAATCAAAATGCATTACATCTGCAGTTTCCTTTGCTGGAAGCCTGATTTTCTAAATAAGACGAAGCTGGTGGAGAAGGGCTTTTTCTTCCTGAACCTGTGGTCTGGCTGGCTCTTAGTGGTCAGTGTGTTCTTTCTAATTGTCAAAATTCACATGGGTAACTCTTCTTTCTGAAGAATTTCACTTTTGAAGAATTCTTAGTTCCTACCAAGTTTCACTTTCTGTAGTTTTTAGAATTCTGTGTCCCCTTGACTTGACATCTGACCTGTTTTCTAAAATCTCTTTCTGTTCTCTCTGCTCTGTACGAAACATAGACAGATAGTGGTTCCACAATAAGCAGATTCTCTGTGGGTCTCTGGGTACAATAATCCTAAGCACAGAGGTTTGGACTTCATCTATAGACATTCACTTTCTGATTTATCAGTTACTTGAACTTCGCAGTCCTCTTAAATGTAACTGTTCATCACTTTTTTGTAAGCTATTTTTTGGTGAAGAAGATACAGCATAAGAGTTGAGTAGTTCTGTATTCAGTTCCATGTCACCATCACGCTACCTGCATAGTGGAGTTGGTGCTAGAAGAGTTTATAAAGCCATTTCTGAGCTTATGATCGCTGCCATCTTATATTGTCTCTGGGCCCCACCCCCTGGAGCTGGCCTGCCTCCCTGCACTGGGCGCCTGCCTGTGTTCCATACCTCCCTTTAGAAAGCCAAGTTCACTGGAAGGTTGCCTTGGCAGCCACATTTGTTTACATAAATGGCCAACCTTGTCAGTTTAACACTAAGGTAATTGTGTTAACTGTAGTGTTTACATTTCAGTCCTTCTAATCCTTCTGCAGGATTCTGATACGATCATGCCTAAGTGTTTTTCTTTCTTTTTTTTTTTTTCCTGAACATTTAAAAGTCTAAAACTACAGATTTCATTATGCCTTGTCATATCTCTCATGTCCTTCACCTGAGTTCTGCTCTTCTAAAATTTGGGCCCAAATGTTTATATAAGATTCCTGTCATTTTACGAGGAACTTTATTATGAAGTCCAAACAAGCAGTATTCACTCAGCTATCATTGCAGCAAATCAAAAAATGCCCCTGATCTTTTGCCAGATCAGACTGTTAGCAAGACTGTTAGTTAGACCTTCTCTGCCTTGTCTTGTGTTAGCGTTGATTTCTGACATTTTGCAGCGAATGTCCCTGCACGCTGCCTGCAGCAGGCTCCATGCTTGTTCACAGTTAGAAAGGAATGTGTGCCGCTGCTGCTGTGTTAATGATTTTAATGATTTTTAACAAATCAATCTTTTCTAACCATCCATTATTTGCGACTTTTGCCTATTTGTAGAAATATCTGGTCTTTATTTCTTTTCTCTCCTATCTTCTTTCACCAGCTGCTGTGTTCTAGGTAATATATTAGGCATTAAGGGCCACAGAGGTTAATAAAAATGTGTCTACTCTAAGAAAAAGTCTCCAATAGCCAAAACATTAGTCAAATAATTACCACACTAAGCAAGTACTATAACTTCCAAACTATATCTGCTGAGGAGAAACTTGGGAGCTTGAGGAGAACTCAGGCTTTTGCTTATGCCACAGTAAGGAAGTCACTGACCTCTCCAGGTCCATCTGTGGTCTGCGGTACTCAGCACTAACTGTCCCCTGGTTATTGGCCACATGAAGTAGGCAGGGAACCTTCAGGATCGCAGCACCTTTGGACATCCTTCTTGTCCGTGATAACATGGGAGGTCTCACCCTAATGACCGTATAGCCGGCTCATCGCAGATGCTGGGCCTGTCCTAGCCTTGCCCTCGCATTCTGTCACCCCATACTTCAAAATGTGGATACTCAGTAGAATAAGTATCATGGATAATCATGATTTGTCAGTTTGTTTACATCATATAGAAGTCCAGGCATGTGCGCTTCACCCTCCACCTGCCCACTCCTGTTCACCCCCCTAATCATTTGGACAATTCCAGGCCACACCTTTGGGAGCTGGGTCAGATTAAACCAAATGACTGAGTCCTCCATTGTCAGCTCTCAGCTCCCACCCAGACTCTGGGGCTCCCTGAACCCGAGAAATCCAGGCGGTTTGCCTTAGTTCTCTGGGCCAGTACGTCCTCATCAGTAGAGGACAGAGATAGACCCTAACAAATGGGTTATTTTGAGGACCACATAAATGAATGAATACAAAATTATCTTCGTTGCCTGACATGATAATTGTTTACTGTGAAGGCTGGGTTATGACATGCTTTTCTGAGTCAGCCAAAGCTAACCCATGTGGAAAACCCCAGCTTCCTCTCCTCCCTGTCCCCACACATGCCTCAGCTTCTTCCTGAACTCTCCCAATACTGCCGCCAACAACTTTCCTTTCATATTTTAATTTCAACCCTTAAATGTTCTCTTTCTCCTTTGGTTTCAGGAAAGAACAAGTCCCTCATAGGCATGACATAGTTCTTTTTCCCCGGGTAACTACTCAGTGTTTATCTTGTCCAAAATTCTTCTTCATGGTATTTTTCTGCATTCCATCAAAACTTTTTTAATTACCCAGTCCTAAGCATTTATACCTAGGTTATCTCTTAGGGGCAGGCCTAGTTCTCATTGGCATCAGATTTCATAGAGCAAAGCCAACACCAAATAATCACTCACTTTTTTTTTTTTTTTTTTTTTTTTTTTTTGGTGGAACCAGGGATTGAACTCAGGCCCTTGCACTTACCAGGCAAGTGCTTATTCTACTGAGCCATCTCCCCCGCCCCCAATCACTCACTTCTTTTCATTCATCCAGCATTTGTTGAGGGTCTACATAGGCTGAGCATTAGGGAAACAAAGAAGGTAAAAACATCCTGACCAATAAAAGCTGGTGATAGTGCTAACAAGATAATATATTGTGATGATACTATGATGTAATATTAGGAACATGGACAGTCACCTTTGGACATCCTTCTTGTCCACAATTGCCCCTGAGGCCTCACCCTGATGACCGTACAGCCATCTCATCTCACAGATGCTGGATTAAGATAAAAACTCTGTGGAAATATATCCTTCAAACATATTTGCAGAGTATACAACAAAGGATTTTTTCTTTCCTTTGAACATATTGTAGTTTTGCTTTAATCTGTGACAGTATCGTTTTTGTAAAGCTAAGCAAACTGATATATCAAGGGTATACCAAGGTATATGGAGAACTTAGGTTTTGCCTGACTTAGTTTCTAAAAGATATATTTAGAATAAAGCAATTATGGTAGAAAGTGTTTAGGAAAGTATAGTAGCCACTAAAAGTTAAAAGTCCTTTAAGCTATTAATATCCATTTATTGGTGCAAATTGTTAACCACATTTTTAAACAGAAATGTTTATTACTGTTAAACATGATATACCTCACCTTACAATATAAACTGTATTAAGTGAGCTCATATGAATTAAATGGCATCGATCTTCCGGCATCTTTTTGTCCACATCTGTAAGTGGACTTACCTGGGTTATTGATAACTTCTCTTCCAAATTTAACATTCTTTGATTCTAGAATTAATAATAATTTTACTCACAAACTGTTGCACACATGTAAAATTAACGGTAGCAAGGGGGGAACAGCCTGCGTATCTTTCGTGAGATCTTGGGCAGGCACCACAAGGAGGTGGTACATCAGACCCAGAGAGGTGGGCTGTTTTCATTTCATTGTGCTCCTGAACTAAGAACAACACCCGCCAGGGTCAAGATTTGCCATGTTGCTTTTCTTTTTAACTTAATCATCGCAGGAACTTAATGACACCATTAATCCGAGAGTTTGAAGTATTCCCGCAATGTGGGTAGCACCCACTGCCATCCTAGGGGACCCCATCTGCCTCCTGGTGTGCATGAAAGATACATTGCATTCACTCATAATCCTATAGTGAATGATGGCTAGAGATGTGGCTTGGTGTTCGAGTACTTGTATAAGGTTTGTGAGAGCCTGAATTTGATTCCCAGCACAAAATACAAGAACAAAACTACAAATGATGTTATTTTTCAAAATAAAGGGGAAAGAAAGTGAATGGTGCTCCTTACAGTTGTGCTAAATCTTAGCCCAAAGATCATAAAAAAACTTTTCTTCCAAAGCAAGTAGGAAGTTTCCTGTGTAGTAGCTATTGATCAGCCATAATGTGCAGGCCCTGTCGTTTTCCATTTTTTATCACTCTTTTCAAGGGTAATTTCTCCCATAGATTATAAAGCATTGTTAGATCACAGTAGAATCACAATGCTGAAAAAATAAAACGTCAAACTCATTGGTTCCTATGATTGCATTGAGTGGTGTACTAAAGCTTTCCAAACAAACTTAGGCCCCCTCATTAGGAATAAGGTCATTCTAGGCTGCCCATTCCGCTCTTAAATTTTTACCTTGATGCTGCATTACTGTAAAGAAAAGCTATCATTGATATATATAAGCCTAGGACTACTTACATGTTTTCTGGGGGATGTTAAACAAGTGCTGTTTTTTGGAAAATATGTAGTACAATCAGAGTCCATTTTTTCCTCCATTGATGTGGCCGTCCTGATGACAGTGGGGGAGCAGAGAGCAAGAACGCTGATTGATCCTCATTCAGCAAATCGTTCTGAACACCCACTCCATGCCAAACACCAGGACAATCGCTGGACTGTCAACACACAGAAATAGGGTCCCTTTCGATGATGAGCAGAATTGAAATAGTGCAGACTAGAGCTTTCAGGTGAGTGGTCCCAAATCAGGGAAGTGTAGAGCATCTTGGTGGAGGTGGTATGGCTAGTATGTTTTCTAGTTAATACTCTTTTTCTTTGTTTAGACACAAAGCCTTTTTTGTGTCTAGAATTCTCTAGCACTGAAAAGCATATAGGATAGTCAGCTTTCCTTAGCTGTCACAAAAATACCTCAGATACCTCAACTTACATGGAGGAAAGGTTTATTTCAATTTATAGCTGCAGATTTCAGTCCGTAGTGGCTTGGCCCTATTGCTTGGCCCTGTGGTGAGATGACACATTATGGTGCAAACACATCGTAGGAGGAACTTTTTACCTTGTGGCAACCAGGAAGCAAAAGAGAAAGAGAGGAAGCAGCTCAGGTTCCAGAAGGCCCTTGCAGGAGCTCCCCCAGTGACCTGTTTACAAGGGTGCACCTCCGAGAGGGTCCGGCCTCTCAGCAGCACCGCAGGCGAGCATCAGAGCCATGGGGAACACTTCCAAAACATACCACTCAGGTCTTAACAAATGGTTAAAATCAAATGGTTGTAAACAGCTTTTCTTAAGGGTAAGTGAAGAGCATTCTAGATCAAGGTCTATGGAAAAGCCTTTTTATTAACAGGACCAGAAAAAATGAAAGCACAAGTGTGCTCAGAATCTAAATGTTCAAGGAATTTAATTCTCAAGAATGCTGACTGTGGGAAGTTCTAGAAGTATTTTTAATTCATCTATTTCCTACCAAATCTTGGTATCAGGATTTAAAAATTCTCATAATAGAAGAATGAGTTTAGATCTCCGTGTCAGAGAAAAAAATGTAGCTATGAAACTCTTCTCCCTCTCTCATCATTCCCTTAATAGTGGAAGATGAGAAATAATGGCCTTCCTTCCAAGTCATAATTACAAATTTTTAAATGAACCATTTAGAATTTCTCTTTTAAGGATACAGATTAGTATTCAGTTGGTTCACAGCATGGTACAGACCCACGAGGTTATACTAAGTGCTGTGTGTAATGAAAGGTTTATGAAAATGACAAAGTAGAATATTATGCCATAAATCACATTTTCTTTTTTAAAAGATAACAAATTAAATATGCAAGTATTGCCAGCTAAGGTTCATAAGAGATGCTGTCTCAAAATATTTATGTAAAACATAAACCCATTTTACCTATTAATTGTAGTTAAGGTTTAATTTTAGGGTGTAAGATGTGTCGGTAGAAGAGACAACTATGTTCTAGTTTTCCTACTGACTTATGCATTATCGCAGTATTTATGCTTAAGGGGTGTCCAGATAAAATAAAAATGCATTTATCATTCCTGCAATAATAGTCACTGCATCGCCCCCAGCAGGCCATGTAGCAGCAGCCAGCTCTACCATGCTAGCCGTCACTGCATCAACTTCCATCTTTATGTACGGCATTCTTCCCACGTCTGCATTTTCCTCACACGGATCTCACGTTGCTTTATATTGTTTTACATACTTGCATTACTTTAACATTTTTATTCCCTATGTATTGTGTTAAGCATGTTAAAATCATGCTTCTATTAAACTAATATATTCACTAGAAGCCTACCAGATTTTGACAATCACCATTGTTTCTGTCATTTTGTTTTTGCTCCTTCTAAAATAATGTAAAATAACTGAATAACAAAGGACAGTTAGAAGTCATTCCAGAAACTGTCCTACCAATTTAGTTTGAAACTGGCTTATTGCTATTTGTTTCTCAATAAAATTATGGGGGAAAAAAAAAAGTCGTTCCGGTTTCTGCTAATGGTACAGTTTAAAGTTTCAAATAGTTAGTACAGATTCCTGTATTAATACAGATACCTCATTAATACAGATACCTCAACAGATACAGTTTTTAGTCAGTAAGTCTCCAAATACTTGAATTGTTTGTCAGCACATAGGGAAAATCACAGCTAAATGGAGCACTGAGTATTTTGTTTTCTATCCTGTTGTGAGAGATTGCTTTTTTTTAAGGATAAGAAAAGCATCCTGCCCCCCATGATGTGCAGTGCTATGTGACACATTTTACTGCCCGTAAGAGTAATTTCTTGTGAACATGTAAGCGCAGCGCACCTGAGATGGTGTACATTATGTAATATAGAATGAAATTCAAAGTGTTAGGTTTCTAATAATTCCCAGATTTTAACAAATGTCTTTAGTGGTTTAAAGTGACTATTAAAAATATATATATATATATATATATATATATATATATATATATATATGCAACAGATGCACTGGTTACTATCAATAGTTACCACCCTGCTCATCACTAGAAACCTACCAGATGGGATTGGGCTTCAGAAATGCATTTTTGAGTTGCATGCGTTTCGGGCCATTCCACTAAAAGGTAGAATCCTTTTGTGACAATCATGAAATAACAGCCTGTACTAAGGAGCTGTGACTGATGCTGCTGTCTGCTGAGAATTCTGAATCTCTCAAAGACTAGAGGGTTCTTGGAAGATACTGAAGCAACAGTATGTTCTGGCCTGTTCCTCTTTGGAAGAAATGTACCATCTACGTGTCTTCACAGGGGAGGAGCTGTGCTTGAGCCTTAAACAAGGCTGCACCTTGGACTGTCCCTCCGGTTTCCTGACTGATGCCCACCACTGTGAGATCTGTCAGTGCCGCCCGCGGCCCAGGAAGTGCAGGCCCATCGTCTGTGACAAGCACTGTCCGCTAGGATACCTGTACGTATTTCCTCATCCACAGAGCCGGCCAAGTGTAGTTTGTTGAAATGTCCTTACCTGTTTTGCTGACCTTTCATGTATGTTAGTGACAGAATCAGTGGTGTTCTAAGTCCAGTATCCATATTGGTTTTGTTGAGTAATTCAGAAAGCAAGGAGATGATTATGTTTCTGAAGATAAGAATCAAGTTTCATTCATCCTTTTTTAAGGAAGTGATACAGATGCCATCTGGTCCTATTGGATCACACATCACATCCCCATAGCGAGCTCCTTTGGACACTGCCGGGTATTGGAGGTGGTCTTGTCACGAGGCCCCGCTGCTGTGAGTGCCGCAACTTCTCATAGCTGTAAGAGGCACTCTTTCGTAATAATTTAATTAACCTGTACTGTGGGGTCAGCTGAAGGTCAGATTAACATAAAATAAAACATATTTGTTTCTTTGGTCTGTATTAACATTTGTGTCTGCCTTTATATCAAGTTGATCCATTAAAAATTACCTTTCAAATTATTTTTCTGTTGTTCTTTCCTTTGCTGTCTTCCATCTCAATCTTTGTCTTTCCAGTTCTATATATTTAATATCAAGTCGTGAGGGATTTAAATACATCATCATCTTTTGCCCATCTTCTTTCAGTCATCTTTTTATTTTGAAAATTCTAAGCTTGCAAGGGTAGGCTTCTCATTTTAATTGGATAGTTAAATTGAGAACATTCTTAAAAATTCTTCAAATATGTCATTCTTAATTCTAAAATATAAATATGATCCAAATATAAGTATAGTTATTCCATCACTTCTATAACGTTAAGTATCATTTTTCTGAAGATAGTACAGCAGCTACTTGCTACATTATTGTGACAGTTTAGAGTCAAGGCCACATTCAAATTCAACCTACATCTTGGAGAAAAATCTCTTGGAAGATGATAAATTTCATTTTGTATTCCTAATGGTAAGCACACTCAGAGAGAAGCCAGTTAACTGTTAGGGACACCTGAGTGTTGCACTGGCTAGAAATTGTTTCACCCTCTGAAAAAGACATCTTTTTTTTTTTTTTTTTTTTTTTTAGGGAAGGGCCTACAGGGTTTTCAGGGTCTCACTACTAGATTGGGAGTAGTAGTGATCCGCCTGTTTACAGACTCCCAAGAGCTGGGATTACAGGTGTGTGCCACAACGCCCAGTCTCACGCCCAGGGGGCGGGGCTGGCACGGCAGGCTGGGAGATCAAATCCCCGGCCCCTGTGCCTGCTTGCACATGCTGTAATCCCCTGAGCTATTTGGCCAGCCTTTGAAAAAAGACATCTTGACCAAATTCTTTATGGTGAGTGTTAGGCAGCCCTTGGTGTTGCTCGACATATCAAGTGAGTGAGGTTTGTATATGCTTACAGTAGGAATGGATGGATGGATGGATGAATAAGAATAGCAAAGCCTTGATAGATCTAGAAGATGATACAGTATATAGCATGACTGTAATTCATTTACTATGTTCATTATGTTGAAGTGAGATCTTCATGTTTAGTACTTCCTTAGCAAAATGGTAGTTTGTCCCTTAGACAGTTGTCACATATTAAAGGTTTCTCACAGGCCTGTCATCTTTTAATCTCCTTCCAAGGTGAGAAAGAGCAGGTGTTTTCTTCCTGTCAGTTGGATCTCATACCTGGCCACTTAGTGTTACTTGGGATGAAACATAGGTACACATAGAGCAGTTAGAGGCTCAGGGGCCTCCTATTAACCCCAAGTCTGCTGAGGAAATGGGGAACCTGGGAGGCCTCAGCCCTCCAGCTGTGAACCTGAGGAAGAGAGGGAGAGGGTAGATGAGTGCCTTTGAGTCATTCTTTTCAGAAAAAAGAAAGGATTTGGTTTTTATAAACATTCATTGATTATTTTACATCATCTTCCTAATCAATGCAGAATTTAGAAAGAAGGTTCCTCCAACATTTTCTTTTACCTCCAACACTCTTAGTCCATATGTCATGGCTGGAGGATATAAACCCCTCTATCTTTTTCTAACTAGACCTAATAAAGTAGCTACTGGACACTGCTGAAGGTTTTTGTTCTTTATCAACACTCTCAAAGCCTTCCCAGGACTGTGGCCCTTAAGCCATATCTTCTGTAAGCTTAGGTAGATGCCTCATTATAAAGTTTTTCACTAGTGTCTGAAATCTCTCAGAGAATGTGTCTTGTGATGAAGCCTGGGAACGCAAACAAAAGAAGGACTTTTGTTCCTAATGCTAATCTTCAGTATTGTTCAGCTTCCTATTCATGGAGTGTCACATTTGTCTCTTCACATGGTGACACTGATTTTCCTAATTAAATCAGTGGTCGTGTCTTTGGGATTCTGACAGCCACATCCCAGAAGCTCTGAACTACTTAGGGAATTCTAAAGCGTGGTCTTGGGTGGGCCCTGGGCAGAGCCACAGGGAGCTAATTACACATCACCCCAAGAGTTGTAAAAGCAGAAGTCAAGTCATTATGCTCAAGTGGCAGTATCCCTTCTTTGACCCTCGATTTGAATGCTTGGGTATCATTTGAGACTTTTTGATTTTCTGACCTCTGGCCAAATTTTAATTACCCAGGAAGAATAAGCACGGCTGTGACATCTGTCGCTGTAAGAAATGTCCAGAGCTCCCCTGCAGTAAAATCTGCCCCTTGGGCTTCCAGCAAGATAGTCATGGCTGTCTTATCTGCAGATGCAGAGGTAAGTATGAACACACAGCCTTGGCCTCTCAAAGCAGCCAGGGGCAAGGAAACAAAGAACAGAAGGACATTTGGTAAATGAAACAGATTAAGTGATTGCTACTCTGACACAAATGCCACTCTCTGTGGGACCCTCCCATAGGACTCCATTTTTCTTTATCTTAATGGAATAAAAGCCCAGAACAGAATGTAAAGCAAGCATATGATGGATAAGCACATTAGCCAAATTAATCACTTCTTAGCTCTGCAGTTTTACTTGTCTCTGGAACTTTAGCCTAACGCTAAAGCTTATCTCAACCTCCATGAAGCCTACCTCTGTTCAGGAGTGGCATTGATACACCCAACACAGTGAACAGCCTCATTTCATTGCCCCTGAGTGTAGGTGTAGGATGCGAGAAGCGCATGCCTTTCCAGAGCCATACATAAGTACAAACCCTAGGCACCTCCTCTTCCTGAGACATGCTGCAGGGACATTCCTGAAGCCGTTAACTTTGTACCCAGCTTGCATTTTCTGCCCTTTTCACAGCCCAAGTCCTACCCATTGCATTCCAGTCTGATGTGGTTATTACCATGAGAGGTAGATGAAACAATAGAAGGTTCCTGAGTTTCCTCAGTATTTTCTCCAAGTTGAACAGTAACCACCTTAGTGGTACTTGAAGGGTTTGTAGTTAACAAAAATCTAACCATTGTTTCTGTTGTTCTGAGGGACAAAAATCTAATATTGGTAGGGGCCCAGGATTTTTCCATGGGGTAAAGCTTCTGAAATGATTTTCTTGTATTAGTTAAACATATATGTAACATCCATTATTAAAACCAATGCTTGTTTGTTGTGGAATTATGACAAGGTAGAGTAAAAGGAATAAAAATCAGCAATAAGCCTACCAGAAGAAGAGAAGCAATTTTGCAAGCTTTTGTCTCTCTCATCCTTTTTTCCCCCTCAAACCTGAGAGCCTATTGACTTAAATTCCTTCCCCGAGCATTCCCCACGTCACTGACTGTTCTCTGTAGTTGTGACGCGTGGTGGCTGGGTTCCATCTCCTGTAAAGACACTGCAGGCCATTTCTCCTGTGCTGTAGCTGCTTCTTTACCAGGCTGCCTTTGTCTGTCCAGAGGTCCCTGCTTCAGCCGGGCCGCCTGTCCTGTCAGGCACATGCCTGTCCATGGATGGCCATCATCATAAAAATGAGGAAAGCTGGCATGACGGGTGCCGGGAATGCTACTGTCACCATGGACGGGAAATGTGTGCCCTGATCACCTGCCCAGTGCCTGCCTGTGGCAACCCCACCATTCGTCCTGGACAGTGCTGCCCGTCATGTGCAGGTAAAAGCTGGCTGCCCTCTCGTGTGCTCCAAATGTAAACGACTTCTGCCTTGTGGGGCCTCGTGCACACCCATGACCCCGGGGAAGCGCAGGGACAGCACCTGGGATACCTTCCTGTTGTGTGGTGTGTGTTAGCAGCAGCCACAGAAGCACCCGGTACAATAAAGGATTAGCCAAAACCCAGAGAAAATGTTAAACCTCCAGCAGCTATTCTCCTTATTTTTGGAGAGTTTACTCAGTGATGCTGATCTTTGAACTGCTTTTCTGTGAAGGTTTCTGGGTATATGTGCTTAAATCCAGCTGTACATTTTACTAATGGTGAATTAAGGCTGAATACCTTAGTTAGTCTAAGGAAATGGTTCTAGTTTTATTTCGTAAAAGCTTACCAAGTAATATTGGAGAGGAAGCAAAGTATTGAGGTCTGTGGTAATTTCCTGTTTTTAAATAATGTACATGTGGCACTCTTGCCAGATGAAAAACTTCAGAGTGACCAAGGCCACACATTGAAACATATGAAGTCATAATGATGGTAATCAGAAGGAGATACTAGAAGACCAGAACAGATTTGTAATTCATGGGGTTTGTACTGGGATTGTCAGTAGCAGTAGTTACTACCATAATGCTCCATCTAGTGCCTTTTAGTTTAAAAGCTCAGCACAGTCTTAGATGTTATTTTCCTTCTGTGTAGGTCACTTTCAGTTAGAGGGAAACTACACTTAGGATGTCTGGAAAACAGACACAGAAAAATTAACTCTCTTACCCAAAATAAAATAGTTGGAAGGTCAGGGAGCAGTGCAGTTTCCAAAACACATCAGATTTCTTTTAAGGTTTAAACGTAGGATCACGTTTGAGAGTCATAATTATCTTTTTTCTGGCCCATCCTGGTAATGCCTGTCCATCTACGCGGAAAGTATGGCCAGGAGTTCGAGGCCTGGTCCTTTGCAGCAAGGCAGGACTAGCCAGGGAGGAGAAAAGGGTTGTGGCCTGGTTGTACCTGTGGTCCTTACCTTGGCAGGGCACAGGCAACAGCACAGGTGAAGTCCCTCAGCTCTGAGATGCTCAGCTCAGTAAGTGTATGTGCAGACTGGCAGGGAGTTCCCACACCCTGTACAGAAGCAGAGGCAGAAAATTGCAGGATAAGTGGCTTATTCTGTTTCCTCACAGTTCCTTTGCATGTACTCTACATCAGAACTCTTTACTTTTCTTGTATTTTGCTAGTTAACTCTGCAAAGCTGCTGTGTCCACTACGTTGGAAGGCAAAGCAACAGCTTAGTATTAGGAGTTGTATTGGGGGTGGGAAAGTCCTTTTCCGCATGAGATACATTCTTTAATCACAGGAGGTTGTAGAGAGCGTGGACCCGCACCTGGCTCTCCGCTGACACGAGTCCTCCTTGGCAGAAATGTCCCAGGGTCAGAGTGTGAAAATGGACAGACATGACTGAAAGTAGACGAGCAGCCCTAAACTGAGTCATGCAACCAGAGATAGCTTCCACAGTTAAAGAAATAAGGGCAATTTTATATAAACACGCAGTGGTTGACGAATTAGTGTGTGGCTAGATACACGTGTGGAAAGCACAGGCCTGCAGATGATGTGTAGGGGACGTTTTTTCCAGAATCTTTACTCTAGTACATTGTCACATGTGGGTTCTTATGACCAGAGACTCTAGGGGAGCGGCCTCATGGAGGAGTCCCCGCAGACTCACCACCCTTCAGCCGTACCTCAGAGCATCAGGCATCAGATTCTCATAAGGAGCATGCGACCTAGCTCCCTGTGTGCACCACTCGTGGCAGGTTTTGCACTCCTAGAAAACTCTGATGCTGCTGCCGATTGGCCAGGGGCGTCTGTGAGAGCAACTGAAGCTTCTCCTGCTAGCCCACCATGCACCCTCTGTTGTGCATGTAGCTCAGAGCAGGCTGTAGACCAGCACTAGTCCAGAGCAGTTGCACCCGTGCATGCTAAGTATGAAGAGTATTTTCACCCCTCTTGCATTCAGGAGCCAGCTGTTGTGTTGCTGTTGCTGTCGAGGTTGCTGTTGATTTCAGGGGTGGTTCTGGACTGAGTGGGCAGCTGCTGGACTCTTCCAGTACAGTAGCCACCAGACTGCTGCTCATGTGTTTGTTTCTCACTCCCTTCCTTTTTCCTTCCTGACCATCTCTCCAGCCCCTCTGTGTTTCAGCTGAGGCAAGAGGATAGCAAAGGAATTAGAAAGACAGGCTGCCTCCAGGCATGTCTGCTTTCTCCTGACCACCCCGTGTCATGTGTGCATTTACAATGTGCCAGTTGCTGGTGCTCCTACAGCCTATTTTGAATCTAGTCATGGATCATTTTCCCAAAATTAGAGTTTTGATGCTCTTGGAAGCAATTTTTCTTTGTAAAATACAGGAAATCCATCTTTATCCTCTTGTCCCAGGTTGTTTTTTATTCTAATTACCTTCCTGTAGCCCCTGCATATACTGGAAAGTTTGATGCAATTGTTAGTGAATGTAACATTAATGTCAGTGTTTTGTGACATGTCCACTTGGTCAAAGTCCCAGTCACTCTTAGAGTTCTCCTAAGATTAAAGCTGTGCTGAATGTCACCTCCTTCCCTGGAAGTCGCCCGCACCACTTACCTCCTGAAGATGGTTGACTGTCATGCTGACTTCTGCTTTGCGAGTAGCAACGGCAGTACACTCCGGGGTGACTTGGGGCTGGCCCTCTCCATGCAGACAGGGACCTTCTGGGAACTTCCTCTTCTGTGGAGCTCCAGGCCTGAGCGAGCCCTGGTGGTTCGGGACTGTTTCCCAGCAGGATTGGACCCTGTCAGTACCTCCTTGAAGTGCTTGTTGTATTGGGACTATCTGAATAGGGTTTCTCAATTCACGCTTCTCGTTTCCCTAACACAACTCCAGGGCAACTCCTGGTCTTTCTGCAGATATTTGAGTATTAAATTCCCTCTATCATTATCATTTCACCACAGCTCCACAACCACCTCTCTTTGGGGGAAAGAAATCATAGCTATCATCAGCCTCTCGGCGTCAAGCTTTCTGGATGATATCACCAAACAAATGTTTAGTCTCAGGTGAGGGTTTCCAGACTGCTGATTCCTTGGGAGCGGTCCTGCTCAGCGTGTTGGCCGCTGGCCAAGATTAGGTGTGGCCTGTTGACAGCAGCTGTGTGTCCAAGCAAAGGAGGGCTGAGGCTCCCAGGGATTATGAGGTGGCTAGGGCATACATCACCCGGAAGTGCTGTTTAATCTGGAGGTGTATCCATTACCCATGCAACCAAAGACTTGGGCTCCAGGACATTGGCTACACTTAATACTCTAAGCTCGCAGTTTCCTCCAGCATAAAACAGAATAATGGTGCCTACCTCACAGGGCTACTGGTAAGGAAAAGAAATAAACATGTGCTTAGGGTGGAAATATTGGACCATAAAAGCATTCAGTAAATGAGAGATCTTTATTCTTAACAACTCCTGTGCATTTCCTGGGATGCTACAACACTGCTCCACTCCCAATAATTTAGTTCTCATATTGAATTCTCTTACGGCTATGGATAGATTTGAGCCACTTGAACTGCACTTCCCATGATTAGCTCTTCTGACACCGTCCTCTATTTCTATGCGTGGAATATTTTCCCCTTCCTTGCTAGTCTCCTTAAGAATAAGTGAAATACCCCTCAGACAACTCATTTCTCTCCCTTAAAGCAAAGAGCACCAGGTTCTTCAAGAGCCAGAAAGACTATGGTTGAATCATTTTTGTGCTTTGATTTTGTGTCCTTCCCCAGATGACTTTGTGGTCCAGAAGCCAGAGCTCAGCACTCCTTCCATTTGCCACGCACCTGGCGGACAGTACTTTGTGGAAGGAGAGACGTGGAACATTGACTCCTGCACGCAGTGCACGTGCCACAGTGGCCGGGTGCTGTGTGAGACCGAGGTGTGCCCGCCGCTGCTCTGCCAGAACCCAGCACGCACCCAGGATTCCTGCTGCCCACAGTGCACAGGTAACCGCTGCCGGCTGGGTGCACTCGGCCCGGGGAGCGCCCCTGCAGGGACCCGGGCGGGGATACCAGCGGCCTGCCTCCTAAATCCATTGCCTTCTGGCGACCACATCATGCGCAGTGTACCCTGAGCTGGCAGTGCCTTTGATAAAGAAAAGAGATTTTTCCTTCTGACACTTTTTCCCTTAATCCTGTATCTCAGACTGAGGGAATGCGCCTTAAGGTTGTCCCTGCATGCTGACAGATTTCAGGAATGATTTTGCTAAGGGGAGAAGTCATCTTTATCGCTAGTAAACGTGAAGAATAGCGATAAATAATATAAATGAAATTATTTGAAAAATATAAGGTACTTTGAAACATGCCTAATGTTACCCCCTCAACCCTGTTCTAGATAATATGTTATGGCTCAGAATTATTAATTAGCTAACACTGTATGTGTAAGAACTATTTTTTTGTATCATTTCTCAGACCTTAACTGGTAAATTCTTACATGATCATACAAAATTGTGGCATGATTTTGAATGTTACTGGTTTTATAATTAAAATACTAAACACTAGAATATGACTTACAAAAGATACTTCATTTGATATAAAAAATTACCAAGTGAAGAGACTATCTAGGTTCTATTTTGGTGTTGCTTAATCTTCCCATGTTTTAAATTAATAACTACTTGTCAAGTGTTGCCACTCAGTAAAACGTAAACCCTCACTTTGTATTAGTATTTTTTCATACTGGATGTCCAGACTCCTACTAAACCAAGCACATTCCTTGTTTCAGTCCTTCATGGGCTCGTGCTGACGGTACTTTGACTAATATCAGTTGCACGTGCAGGGACAGCCACGTCACTGGCTGTTGTCACATGCGTTACGGCCACAGTGTAGCATCTTAGTACAGAATTTGGCTATTATCATCTTTACAGGCTTACTCAGTGCAAGCATTTCTAATGTAAGAAGTAGTTCGTATGTTTTGTTTTTAAGCTGTGTGGTGTATTCACACCATCTTTTTTATCCTTATCACCTTTATTCATATTTTCTGTTGTTAAAGAGTCGTGACTGTCCCATCTTCCTGCAAAAGCCCTTGGCATGGCCTGTGCACTCTGACCCTGGCTTGTGTGTGTGCATCAGGTTATTCACCTAGCAGACATGTATGCAATTCCTGAACTGAGCTGCAGGAACATGAGATTAGCTCAGATAGAAAGGCCACCTGTCCTGTAGCGCAGTCATGAGCAACCCCGCGCGCCACCTTCTGTAAATAACAATAAAGAAGGCAGAGGTGTGCCTGCAGAGGAGGGCAGCGGAGTGCCGTGGTCCAGGAAGCTGCCCCGTGGGCCGGGAGGCAGCGGAATAGAGTAGTGGCTGTGGAAGAGGGAGTAAGAGGGTGCATCCAGGACCACTAGGGGACCCCTCAGGGGGACTCTGACTGGCCGTGGTTCAGCCGTAGGAGAAGGAGTGCCATGTGGACAAGGCCGCCTGCGAATGCTGGCCTTCCTGCCTTCTTCCTACAGATCCAACAGCAAGCGCAGCCCTTGTGCTGCCTTTGACTTCTTGCTGATAAACGTAGGCCTGGGGTCTGTTTTTTCTTTCCATTTGACTTGAGGATATCCCTCATCTTAAACCCTTAACATGTTTGCTCTTAAAATGGTAACTCAGAGCATATCTATAATAATTTACATTTTAAAAGGAGCCATCCATCCATTGATCTTTTCGCTGTATTGCAGCAGCAAAAAGGTAAAACATCTTGGCCCTCAAAATAACAATGTTTTCACATCCTAGTATGCTTCAAGAGTAGCACTGCCGGGCCTGGCGTGGTGGTTCACACCTGTAGTCCCAGCACTCGGAGGCTGAGGCAGGAGGATCACTATTCAGGGCCCTGCCTGGGCTACACAGTGAACTCTAGGCCAGGCTAAACTATACAGCAAGACCCTCGCTGAGAAAAAAAAAAAAAAGAGGAGCAGTGTCAGGAGGTTTATTGCACAGCAAGAAAAATTTCATCTCTGGTCTTAGGATATGTGTTTGCTAAAACACTTCGAAAATAATACACCTGCACACAGCAAAAGCTATCCTGCATACTGAGTCTGGGGTGGTTTACTAGCCCTTCCCTCCTGCTGGGCTGCTTCAGGGCCAGACCTGGAATGGAAAGGTGCTCTCGAAGAGATGGCGTTGGTCTCTTCTTTGTAACTTTTAAATTTATTTTTATTCTTTGTTTTCTATACTTGGAAAAAAAAAAAGTATAGCATGGGAAAGAAAGGAAGGTAGCAAAGAAATAAAATGAGTGGATGAGCACCAGTTAAAATACTGCTGAAAATAAAGAGTAATGTTTGGAAGGAGAAAGCGTGCTCGGTCTGACAGCACATGCACTGCAGAAAGAAGTAGAAAGTGGGCTCTGTGAGGCGGGAGCGTGGAGGGAAGGCCCAAAGGCAGAAGCTGCGGGGCAAGATTCCAAGTGGCGCTTGCAGGGTGGATTTGGCCGAAGCGTCCTGCGTACTGGCTAAAGAGCTCGCTCCACACCCACGCTTTGTCTCCCTCCCTCACTGCCTGCACATCCTGGTGCCAGTGCAGTCTTTTCTGGGCCCCGGTAAGAGGCCTCTCGTGTCCCGAGCATTCCATTCCGCTCCTGTTACGTTGCCTCCTATTGCCATCCCTGCCGCCTGTCCTAGATTTTTAGACCCAAAGTCGGTCCTTACTCACAAGCACTACAGCAGTATCACTCATAGAATCCCAGTAATATGCAAGGCCCCATGTGGAGAAGCGTGAATCGTTCCTTATTACCAGCCAAACGAAAGGTGGCGGTGGCCAGCCTCTTCCTAAGTTCTCTGTAGCAGAGCTGACCTTGAAAAGGCCCCTGAGACAGAAAGCCCGTTTTACCCCTGTGAGCTGCTGCACATGGATGAGTTCCACAGAGCCTTACTCGAAAGAGGTCCTGGGTGATGTGGGAGCCAGTGGACCCGGTGGTGGTTCTTTTGTGTCTGTGCCTTTGGGACTGACAGCAGAAGAGCTGACTGCAAGTTATGAGGATGTTTGGGCCTGTACCCTTGCCCCTCCGAGCTGGCCTCAAGTGCAGCAGCCCCTTTGGCCCTCCCCAAAGCACTTCTCTTCACACCAGGCTTCTCTGTGGGGTGTATCTGTGAGGCAGATGGAAGGAAAAAATGACATTTAGAGTTTCGGCATCATGTGATAACTACATGTCTGTTTCAGTTATTTCTGCTTCATGGCTGAAAATAGCAGTTGATTGAAAAAGGAACATAAACTCAACAGTGTAGCCATTGAAAGAGTGTCACTTTGTTAGGGGCTTGCTGGGTACAACTATCATGACTATTTCTAGACTCGTGAATGGTGAAGATGGCTGGTAGTGTTCTCTTTCATCAGTGAAATTGACATTTCTGAAGTGAGTTCTTGCTAATTTAACATATTCCTTTCTCATATCTCAGATTTCTACTGGGGGGTTGCAGACATCTTTGATCTCAACAGATACCAACACCTCAAGAGAAATATACACTTTTCTGGTGATACTCTGTTCTATTTCATGCTAAAGCTTATCTAGGGGCCTCAGTCTTTAAACAGAAAAGATGAAGATAACTGGCAAGTGCATTCTCTGGGGTTTCACCTTCATGCACAGGTCAGATTTCTTTCAGCCATTGAATGGGTGTAAATGCCCCAACGTGGGGCGTTATGGATAGGTGTGTCTTGATAGTCTGATGCGATGACAGTCTGTTCAGGTCTTACGTGGCTGGGATTACATGTGGCTGCAAGTAAAAGAAAACCCCACTACAAATTTTTACACTAATGTAAAAATTTGACATGTATCAAACTGATTCAGTGGCTCGGTGACATTACGGCCTTTCCCTTACAGATATGAAAAAGGTATCAGAGCTACAGCAGCGCATGCGCACATAGGGCAGGCACATAGTGGAAGGATGGGGAGGGCAACGCATCACCCTTGGAAGAAAGTGAACACTCCCCCAGAAATCCTCTCGTTAGCTGCGCTCTGCAGCCTGTGGCCTGTGGTACAGTTTCAAGGCAGACAGGGTTGTCCTGATCAACTGCACCCATTTTGATCCAAGTTCTAGACCATTCCACTGGAAATAAGGCTGCAAAACTAGTGCAGGATAAACAGCAATCGCTGTACTACACCTTTTCTGATCTTTGTTATTTTGTTTTGATATTCGAGACCTGTCTGTACCTGACTTCCTGGTTGGTGACTGAATTTTTGGTTCTCAGAAACTGGCAGAGCCTCCGTGACGGGGATGCTCTTGATCCATCCGTGCGACTCTTACTGGCTGCACTGTTGGCTGGCCCGCATCGTCCCCCTTGCTGACCTTCGTGTTCACTTTTCCAGACGAACCTCTTCAGCCTTCCTCGTCCCACAACGAGAGCGTGCCTGGCTACTGCAGAAATGATGAAGGGGACATATTCCTGGCGGCCGAGTCCTGGAAGCCCGATGTTTGTACCAGCTGCGTATGCATGGATAGCGTGATTAGCTGTTACTCGGAGTCTTGCCCATCTGTGTCCTGTGAAAGACCTGTCCTCAGAAAAGGCCAGTGTTGTCCCTACTGCCTAGGTAAGATCAAGAACAAAACCAGTTTCCTCTACCAGAGGCTACTAAATGAACATTGACAGCTATTTGCCCAGATCAGTTTATATTTTGAAATTGCTTTTTCCAATTACCGCCACACAGCCCCAGTGTAGGAACTGCAGGTGCGGAAAAGCCGGGGCAGAGGAGCTCCAGGCGCCGTCTAGGGGCGTGACGTTGCTGCACGCTGTCCTGCTCCACTGTGCTCTGCTACTGTAGGGTTTTCACGATCAGAACTTCTGTGTGCCCAATTCCTTACAGTGATCTTTGTGCTCACCATTCCGTGATAAAACTTGCCTTTGCCTTGAGATTAGCTAAATAGGAAATTGTAATCTCCCTGGTTTTCATGTCTTGATACTGACTTGCTGATGCTCGTTATGCCGCGTCGCTGTCAGTGTTGACAGCCGAGGCCCACAGTGAGACCTGAGGAACGGACAGACCCCTCTCCTTCCGTGACCGCTGCTGATACGTCTTGTGAGCAGAGGACATGCGTCTATCAGACCCTAGCATCTGCACCAAACTGGTCCTGTGGACATAAGGCAGAAGCTGTTCCAGGGACCAGAAGCAGGGCCGAGACAGCTGGCATCTGTAATTAAGGACAGTCCCCACTCCCAAGGCACCCACTGTCTTTTATTGCTTTTGCATACAGTACTGTTCATAAAGTCGAATGAAAGGCACATCTCAGTCTGTTGCTTAGTGCATCCACAATCAGAGGAGCAATGAAAGATGATGCCAGTTGTATTAGTTATAGTTACAGGTGTTGTACATGTATTGTTGGAGATTTTGCATCCTTCCTGGACACAAGTCCCTGTAAATCTTTGGGGTGATGCTGGCCACAGAGCTGGATAGCAGTTAAAAACATGAGATCTGTTCTCAGAAATTTTGTGGGGCCAGATTTTTACAATGAAATAACCAGGGTATTGGGCAGGCCAGATAGCTCAATAGACTAAAGCACCTGCTTAGGCAGGTGCAGAGACCAGGGTTCAATCCCAGAGTGCCATGCCAGCCCCACCCTGGGGCACGCTGAGACAGTGATTGAGACTGGGCATGGTGGTGCAAGCCTGTAATCACAGTGCTTGGGCTGATGAAAACGGGAGGATCACTATAAGTCCGATCTACATAGTGAGACCCTGTAGACACTATACTAAATACATAAAAATAATAATAACCAGGGTATTAAAGTTCCATATATTGGATTCTCTCCTTCAGAGTGACTTTTTATGGTAGATTCTTCAACTCTTGATATCCTTGAGAGTGATTGGAAGGTATTAATAATTAATGGAACAACAGCCACAGACCCAGAATATGTGTAGCATAGCAGGACTCTTGGTAGCTTCTAGTGGCAGAGACTACCCATAAATCTTGTAGCTCCTCAACAAAGCCAAAAATATTGAGGCATATATCCAATTTAATACTACTTACTTTTTCAGAGAACTGCCCAAAATTTGTATAGGAAATGATACTGCCTTTGGTGAGACCTAAAGGACAGAGATAGACAGGGAGAAAGTGGACAGTATCTCCTCACCTGCATATCTGAATTTAAGTACTGAATAAAGGATTCTTAAATCAGCCAGGAGGGCTTGGATCCTCGCTGAAAAACCAAGGTCCAGGAGGCCTAAGAATTCCATGTCACTTTTCAGAAAAAAAGTCTTGCAACAGATCTCATCTATGTTGGGAATTCTTATATCATTTGTTTGGAGGAAAGATCCTGTTTGTTTTACTGTATAAGTGGTAAAACTAATTAGTAAGTTGTTCAAGTAGTGAATTTGTTTCCACATCATAAAAATAAATCATTTCTGTTTCTCACAAAACCATCATAAAATCAAAATAGTGGAAAGAAGCTCGCTAATCCTAGGCTTCTGTATCCACCCTTTTTCTCATTTGCTTTTTCCCCTTTTCCTTCGTGCTTCCAGTTCCTAGGTCATTTAGGCTATACACTCTTTTTAATGTGGAAGGAAAGACCAGTTTGGCCCTGATTTGTGATATTGATTTTAAGTTAGATTTCAAGGACTTTCACTGCACTGTGGTACCTGTAAGGACATGAGACATACTAGAACTGCTGGGTGTCCTCTCTCAACAACGACCTGCCCCACCCATGCATGTGTGTCTATTAACCTATTAACCTTTGTACAAGGTGGCTGTGTGGGGAGGCCTAGCATTTGATAAACAGTGCCATGTCTGCCTGTTCATCTTCATGTTTCCTGCATGTTGCTTTACTGTCAAAATAGTCTGTAAGCCCCTCCTGTCTGCGCCATCCTTCAGTTTGGCTGGATCCCTTCTCACGGAGCCCGGCTGTGACCGTGCGTTCGTGTAGTGCAGCTGAGGACTGCAGCTGAGGGGCCTCCTCTCCGGGCTCTTCACATGTGCCGCACAGACGGGCTGCGGGAACTGCGGGCCAGCCTGCTGTGCCACCACCGCGGGGCTGTGGGCTCCTCTCTGGGCAGTGATCTCTGGAGTTAGTTAGGCATTAAGCTCCAAAACCTCCCACCCCCCATTCAGCTGGCCCTTTTTTCTAGTGGGGTTTGCTTGTTTTCACCTTGTGAAGTACCCTTTTTTATCGTAAGAGAAATGAAAGGAGGTGATCCTCCTAAAGGTAGTCCTGTAATTACCAGCATTTGTGTTCCTTTCAGCTGGATTATCAAGTCACTAATGTGCACCACTAATGCTTCTCCCTTGATGTGTGAAGGCCTCGTATTATGTGTGCTAATTTAATAGAATGTGTAATATAGACATAATTAATAGGATTGATGATTAATTTTGAAAAGTGAACAGCTTTGTCTAATTACTTATAATACCCATCATTAGGGAATTCATCCCACTGGAAAGAAACTAAGTAGTAATTACCCAATCATTTTAATGGAACATCTGATTTTCTAATTTTTTGCACTGTGCTTCCTACACAGATACATGTAAACTTAGGTTTTATCTTTGTAGTTTCTTTCTCTGAAAGGGTGGTGGCTTCAGAGATAGCCTGAGTATGAATCAGGCGGAGCGCAGAAGGCTGGTGGGAATTCTTAGGTGTGGCGGTAGATGAGATGTGCGGTTCCTTGTGAATTGAAGCCTCGCCATTAGGACTTGCCTCACCGTGCGAGGTAGGGCTGATTTAAAGCATCTGTGCATGCAGGCCGCTGCTCTGGATCCTTTCCAGAGCAGATATATGGTATCTGAGTGGGATCTTCCCTGAGCGCCTGGAGACAGCAAACACGCTGGCCCCTGCGGCATGGATGCTCTGGGGACATGGACTCTGTAGGCGCTGGGCTCGGCCCTCATGGGCAGGGTCACACACAGGGACCTCTTTGGGAAGAGACTTAGACCTGACATACAGGATTTTGAGGCCCAGCCAGCCGCTGCATCATACCTGCTAGGCTGGGGAAGAAGGTGCTCGGGGTGCCCCAGCCACAGGCCTGGCAAGCTGGAGGTGTTGCTTAGTACCCAGAACATGTGACTTGGCAGAGATGCACCTGTTGTAACAGTGTGTTACGTCGGAATGTATGTGATACCTGCTATTTAATCTTATTTGTTGGCTGGAAATCCCAGGGTTTCAGTGCATCCTTTTCACTTAGGTGTTTATTTTTGGATAATAGATGTTTTGGTTTATTCTATATAATATATGGCATAAGTGTGCATGTGGTTTATAGTTTTCATTTGAACTAAGTTATGGTATTTTGATTATGTGACAGTCATCTTTAGAATGTCTTTATCATATTCTTTTAAGGATCTGTGATAATGAGCTGTATGTTAGGTCGTATATAAAAGCTATTTCCTGTAGGTTGTATGTTGTCTGATTAGGGTTTGCTATTTTTTAAACTTAATATCTATACTCTATATTATATTTGGAATAGAGCTGTTACATGGACTCAAGCTGGCCTGGCTCATGTCAGAATTATTTCTCATTTGGCTGTGATAACTGTATAATGATCTTCACTATAATTCAATAACATTTCTCCCTGCTAGGGAAGAGGTCTATTTTTATATTAAATTAACTTAGTGTACAACATTCCTTTTTCTTTATATATCTGCTTAAAGTAACTATAAAAACGGTATCTTAGATCTGTGTATGTGCGTATATACACACAGACATGTACACACACACATACAGACATGTACACAGAATGTACACACACAGATACTACACACAGAGACACATACACAGAGCTGCTACACACACACGGAGACATGTATACATGGAGAGACACTACACACAGACAGGTACACAGACATGTACACACAGAGACACATACATATACTGAGACATGTACACACAGATGGACACACACACAGACACGGACACATATGTCTCTTTGGAGCATCTGTTGGTCATTGTATATTCAGCTCAGCCCAGGAATCAATTCAACATCTTTAAAGTACTCAACTGATGGTATTCAGTGTTACACATTTTTAAACCATTATGTTTTGATAGTGGCATCTTCTTTGGAGCATTTTCACAGGTGCTTTTCCAGTGTATTTCTTTAAATTAAAAGCTTCTGGGCCGGAGAGATAGCTCAGTGGAATAAGCACCTGCCTGGTAAGCATGAGGTCCTGAGATCCGTTCCCAGTGTACCAAAAAAAAAAGCTTCTTCACATTGGAAAGAATTTGCCTTTGAGCCAAAGGGTTAGGATCACAACTGTGTCGCGTACTAACCACATGTCCTTGTGATAGGATGTAACCCTAACTCAGTTGTCTCCTCTGTAGATGACAACAATACCATTGCCATGTGTATCACAGAGAGCGCCACGAGAATTAAGTGGCAGCGCACCTAGGAGCAGACACTATGAGCAGTGAGCACGGTGCGCATGTGCACTTGTGGGGCGGGATAGGTGGAGCCGACCTGAGCGGTGCTGTGGAGCAGTGCCTCCTACCTGCTCTGAGATGTAGCCCGTGGCTTCTGCAAGAAGGACACTGGGGCATAGCATGCCAGTGGTGAGCGTGTAAAGGAGGAGAATGTTTTAGGTGGTGCTTTGGTCGTGGCCCTTGTGCTGCCTATTCT